TCAGGTTGACATTAAATGCCATTTATTACCTATGTGATTTTAGGCAACATATTTTACTTCCTACAGCCTTGACTTTGAGTTTGTAAACAGGGATGCAAACAGTTACCTGGCAGAGTTATTGCACATTTAAAGGAATTAAAGGGAGAGCAGTCCTACCTCACATCAGTGAGTGAATAGATTCATAAAATTTGGCTATGTTCTTTACAGTCACTCCTACCCACCCTGGTTAGCCAGTTTTACTCTCTACAGTATCCTATGGCCCATGTTTTGTGTCAAAGCAAGTTTTGCCTTCATGGTCCTAAGTCCATCATTTTGTTTCTATTTTGTATTTGTAGTATCAGATCTAAAGTTCTCATCCCCACTCTCACATAGACCCCAGAACTCCTAGTGTTCCCTTCCCTCCTACAGCGGGCATGGCAAATTCGAACTGAAAAAGTCAGAACTGGATGTCAGTAGTCTTCCTGTGTATGAAATAAGCTGCTTTGCAAGTAAGTGTCTGAAATTAGTTGCTTTGCAAGTAACTACATAGGACTCCATGTTATATAAATGCTCTAATGTTTTCCTGTTATGTGTGAATACTCTGAGAAGTTTTGTCATTTAATGATAGTTTGCTATTTAAATAAATATATATTTATATATTTATTGTTATATATCATAAACTATATTTATATATTAATTATATATATATATAATTGATGATGAAGGAAGGAGATACTATAGAAATTATTTATCCCATCAGGAAAAATGTAAAATTATTTTTATATATAGAGATATGTATATATGTGTAAAATTATTCTATCTATCTATCTTCTATATTCACAGTTCTAAAGCACACACTGGCATCATGAATATTTAACAGTGGCACCCCCTGATTATTTTGAACTTTGGTTTTGTCATTTTTGAAAATGAAAGATTAAGCAGTAGGTTAAGCTGTCAGACAGGAAGTCGGTGACGATGTGACTATTTGATGAACTCTGAATGAATCAAGTGCAGAAAGCAAGGTCAAAAGTGCTGTGCTATGGAAAGGACACTATTCCACTCCCAAAGTACATTTCAAAAGACTGATTTACAAAGTAGCCTCTTATTGCAAAGAGTCTCCTTGTGCAGGATTCCAAATAAAGTGAATGACTTGAAGTTTCTTTTAAAATTACCTTGATTGACTACTTTCAGACAGCCTGAATATGAGTCTGGACCAACCTAAACAGCTTCTTTGGAGTTTATTAGGTTCATTAAAAAGATATGCCTAACTTAGCATCAATTGGCTAGACCCTATACTAGGCACTTTATGTGCATTATCTCTTATACAATAAGCTTTATCTGACAACCACTGGCTTAGAATTCCTACTTCTCTGTATAAATTGTTAAATATTTTCAAGTTTACATTTTAATTTATTGAAATCCAAACATCTGAAGCCATTGTATATCACTTTCTCATGGTCTCAATAAACAAATACTCTGTTAACAAATAGGTTACTCCAGTATATTTTTCAAATTCATAACTTTGTGCTTATGAATACACAGCTATCTTGTAAATAGAGCAAAGTAATATTTAATGTTTGCTCTATAGTTCAATTCTAATTTCTAAATATAAATGAATAGAAAGGAACATAAAAAGGGAGAGTTTTGTGAGCTTTAATGATCATTTTATCTCATTTATGTTATCTTCATTATTTAATCCCTACTCAGTATATAATAACTATTCTATACTCAATGTTTTTAATTTGATTTTAATGACATATAATAAATGTGGTGTGGAGAAATACAGTTGCTCTGAAATCAAAATAATTTGTTAAAATTTAACTTGTTAAAATTGCATAGGCTGTGAAGTATGTGGTATTAGATATAGGCAGAGTTATATACAAAGGGCATGAATTTATATCACTTTCAGTTCCCACCCCATGAAACTGGCATTGCATTCAAAATGCTATGCTCAAATTAAAAATAGCAGTATTTCCAGAAATGTGACATGCTAATGGATGAAGCAACACTATTCATAAGCAGTAATAACAAAATAACTCATTTAACTTAGAGAAATGGCTACAAATTTTCTATGCATTTTGATGTTTATTACTTTCACCATAATTTTATAATAAGGAAAGTAGTGATAAACATTTATTCATATTTTATATAATAGTTTCTATTAAGAAATGAAGGAATGAAACAGCTATTTCCTCAAGAAGCATATTTTAATTTGCTTTATAGATGAAAAATGTTGTATTTGCTGTTTTTGATTCTGCACTATTTGCAAATAATATTCTCACTGCTGAGCATATATAGAGCAGTACAATTTGTATATTTCAAGACATATCTAGATTTTAAAATCAGAAATGTTAGTAACAGATGAATGAGTTGTTATACCCTGGAGTCATTGGTCATGTTCATCTGGAAATGGACTCAGGCTTTATTGGGTGTGCTCTTGGGAACATCTGTGAGGAGAGAGGGATCCAGAACTGGGCAGAAGGAGAAGTTGACCTGTGGTAATCTTAAGAAACCCCAGTCTATTATTATCAATCCTATGAGGAGCTTCAATGATGAAATACAGCTTCAGAGTTGTTGAGCCAGCTGTAAGGCAAGAGAGAAGCCATGAAACCTTTGTATTAATGTCATTGCATGGGGCCACCGACCCCTGCCCTTGGGAGGCAGTTTGACCTTGGGCAAGGGGGTTCATTTTGGCCCAGGGCAATTTGTAAAGAGCATCTCTGGTGTCAGTCCTCAGCTACCAGCATTCCAAGCAGTGGGGAGAATTTGTCCTGAGCCCTGAAGAGGACTGTGGGAAGCCATATCACAATACCCACTACACCTGTATTTGCATAACAAATGGCTAAAGAATAGGTAGTCAGGTGTCCTTTCCTTTCCAATGATCTTTTAGGTTTCACTCATCAAACAGGTGGGAAGAGATGAACTCAAATAGTTTCTCCAGCTTCGCAAAGTTTGATGACTCTTCCTTGATTTTTTTTTTGTCCCCAGGAAGGAAACTCCAGTTGCAATATTGAGAAAGGGCCATAAACTGTACATAGAAGTGTAAATGAAATTCATATCCTGGAGGAAGAGAGGAAGTGGAAATCAACTTTACCTAACAATCAAATCAATATGCATTCGTTCTTTGTGCCAGGCATTGTGCTGGATGAAAAAAATAAATGAGCAATCTTTTAATCTCTTTCAAGTTCCTGAACCAGAGGGGCTTTCTAAATGAAATAACTACTGAGTATCTTCCTGCTAAACTGCGTTCTGTAATTATAAGAATGGAATGCTTCTTGAAGCAACAAACTCAACTTATTTTTCTCTTCATGATGTTATGTTAGCCTTTACCTAACTTCTGAGATTTTAGGATAAAATAAGACAGACAATACATGTGACACAAATAAAAATAATTTTAAACAATTTCTAAAATCTTATTACTTGGGGACATATTAACCATACCACTGATTTCAACCAAAACTTACTTTTAAACTTTGTTTTAACATCTGCCCTCTGCTTTCTGACTTGCACTACTTTTTATTTTAAGTGGTTTGCTGGTTCAAACTTGCTATTGTTGTTCTTGCTGTTGCTGAGAAACATTTCAAGAGGGAAGTTAGAGGAGTGGGATAAATACTGTTTTTGTTAATTTGGCTCCAGCTGAGTTTATACCTGGAAGCGGAAGAGCTGATGATTTTTTGGTATGGTTAATTAAATCTGGTGCTGAAGGCTTCTGTTATAGGTATTAAGTTACCTTGTTAGCAGATCCTCTGGTCCAGCAGCGTTGGAGTCACCACTGGGGAATCATTTTAAAAATGTTTACTTTGTGTTCAGGTAACTGATGGAGGCCAGTGACGGTCCGTGTGCAGTTGGCAGAGTTAATTGTGAGATTCTTCACAGTAATTCAGTAGGGTCTCACTCTACTTTGTTTTACAAACAAGATGATAGATGAGTACGTGGAACAGGCATGAACCTCTCCTTTCTCTGGTCTGTCTCTTAGAATTCTTTTCTGTGAGAAAGAAAAAAAAATCTCACTGCATTTTGTTTTCCTAATACTTTTTGGATTCTCACCAGCAGGTTGTTCCAGTCTGTTGCTTGCCTCTCAGATTAGAAGAATGCTCGCATATTTTAAGTTTCCTAGGATTCAACAGCTTTTAATTAACAGCAAATGGATGTTTTAGAGTGTTATCAAACTATGGGAGCTGGAATGCTGACATGGGCTTTCATCCTTCCAGCCTTTGAGTTGAGTGGAGTTCCATGGCTGGGGTGTGTGATCCGTTGCAAACAGCTGGTTGTCTGCCTACTGTACACAAAGGGGGTGTCTGTTGGCATAATATTCCACTACTTGCTCGCTGGTGACCTTCTAAAGTCCACCTACTCATGACTGGGAGGAAGGCAGGTAGTCGCTGACTGCTCAAAACTATGGCTTCCTGAACAGTACAGGGATTGCTGTGTTTGTAGGTGGGTCTGCTGGTTTTACTCCTCCGGTCGCCCAGGCAGTAAGGTACGCCCTCCTGAATTTGTGGTTAAGTTGCCTTTCCATGCCAGATTCATGCCGTCTTGCTGCCAGAGTTTTGGATGTGATGGAAGAGAGCAGTTTTATAAAATAATCAATCAGACTGGATGTATATTCAGAGCATAAGATAGTGTGCAGAGAGGGGTAGGGTACAGTAGAAGGGTTTTCCTTTTGAAGGGAGGAATTTTGGTGGCAGATTTACTGCTGACCCAATCCAGAGTTCTAGGCAGGAAAAGAAGGATAGCTTGGGGCGTAGGAAATGTTCGACGTGTCAACTGTTACTTACATAACCAGATAGTTATAATCCAACAAGGAAAAGAAGCAGTTCAACCAGCTTCCTCTGGCTAATGGCAAATGTGCTCATTGGCCATTTCTCAACTGAGGTCAGTATACTCCATGTCTTATTTTTTCCAGTGACCCACAAAACTGGCCTTTTGATCTCAAAAGAGACCTTGGTGTTTTTCTGTGTGTGTGTTTTTTTAAGTGTGCTGGATACCCCTGATTGCTCCCTTTGCTCTCCTCTCTGTAGGTGGTACATGCCAGAGCCCTGCTCTCCCAGCCCTGGTCCGTCCACCAGCGCCCCCTCTGCAACCATCGCTGGATATTAAACCATTTCTTCCCTTTCCTCTGGACACTGCGGCTGCAGTCAACCTCTTCCCCAATTTTAACGCGGTAAGTTCCACTGTCAAATTTGCATATGCCAGAAAGGTAAATGCTGGAAAACCTTCGAGGCCAGAGGTGAGTTGGTCATTACCTCTGTTTTGCTATGTTTTTCATTCCATGATTGTCTGAAAACCACGGCGAGGTTGGTTGTGCGCCTGGTTATGTAAGGTCCCTGGAGCCCGGCTCCTTCAAGGGAAAATGAGAATAGATTCAATCGAATGGGTTGATCATGAGTTTATGTTTCCCCTTTAGTGTCTTTTGGGTACCACTAACACTTTTCTTATTTTGTTGGAATATATCGAAATTGAAATTGAATGAATTTGTTAGAGGGAACATTAGAATTCAGCTAGATGTCTAAAAACATGAATGTGTTTTTTGTGTGTGGACCCTCTATTTTCATTTTAAAATCTGTCACTTCTTAATCTAATTTAATAAAAAAGACACTGATCATCACAAATAGTGACACATTCCATGTATAGAGCACTTTCTGCCTCCTTAACATAAATCAACTTAGGGTTCTGGTAGCAAGAGTTTCTGTTGTTTTCTTTTCCTGCTTGGCTACCGTTGTTCAAGTTGTCTTTCTTAAATTACCCTGTTTTGAGGAACCTGTGTCAACAGCCTTCTCAACACAAGTTCAATTACTTTCTTGCCTCTATTTCCATTCTTAAGCATGCCTTTATAATTTGGCAGATTCCTCATATTCATCAACATCTTTTTGTGTGTGCAGTGAGCATGTTCTTAGGATAGAAATAGAAAGAAGAGTTGAAAAGGTAAGAAATCAGTAAGTGACATTTTTTGGTAATACCGTCTGATTCAGCTTTCAGCACTTGTGGTAATATAGGTCTGAGCTTATCAATGACAGACAGGACCTGTTGACACAAGAAGTAAAGAGAGGATTACCATGGGAGGGCACCGAAGTCCCAGTGGCCTAAATAACACAGATTTCTTGTTGCAATATTTTGTACCCATGATGAATTTTTTTAAAATCTTACCCAAATGAGATCATTCTCCTTCAGAAGACAGCGGTGGGTCCTATATTCTTTAATAAAACTTCACCGTGGGCACTGTGGACATTCCCATGAGCTGTTACCCTTATGTGCCAGTGCTTACTTAAGGGCAAGGGAGAATCACAATGGTTGCTTTGCTTTTTTGTGGGGGAAGAGGGGGAGGGAAATTTTCCCATGGGGAGAGATTTTCCCATGGGAATCTTATTTTGAAATCGATGGAGTATAAATAGAGCAGCATGAAAAGATCACATTTCCAAGGTAGAATTTCTAATTCGAGGTATTTCAGTGAAAGTAGAGAACGCATTGCTCAGCATCTAATTCCCTGATTCTTAAATGACCGCACTGAAGTGCCCCGGGTTCCCTTGCTCTGAGTTCCTTGTCTGCTCCTCTGTTGTGCGGGTTCCTGTTACAGTCTCGCTTCCCAGTCCCCTGGAGACGGTCACCAAGGTGCTTTGGCTGGCCTCGGGGACCACTTGGCTTCCCATCACTCTCATCTCCTGTGAGCTTCAGAGCAGCTGAAGTGAAATTCCTGGAAGGCTGTGAAAGGCTGGGTTATAAACTTCTGATTTGCCCTTTGAGAAACATTAAAAGCAAAATGATTAATTTGACTAAATACCGTTTGTCATAAAACAGAAATGAGTGATATGCTGAATTATATGACACTGAGTGGATCTTTTTACCTTCTTTGCTGTTGTCTCCTCCCTTGTCTTTAAAATAAAGGGAGTGGGCCTGATGACCCCTCCCTTTGGCAGTTACACCATTCAAATATGTGAGGTTTTGTGGGCAAAGGCAGTGTTGTGTGGTGATCAAGCTGGATTCGTTAGCTACACTGACGAGGTTCAAATCTCAGAGCTGCATTTACCATCGCCATGACCTTGGGTAGGTCACACAATCCCCATGACCTCAATATCTTTATCTGTAAAGTGGGGCCGATAATTAACCTACTTTATAGATGTGTGATAATGCTTATGTAGGTTAAGTCACTTAGAACAGGGCTCAGCATATAACAAGCACTATTTAAGTGATAGGTATCATAGCCTGTACATCCTTTTTGTTTTGAATGTGCAAGTTCATTGACTAATTGATTGCAAAAATTTGACTTGATTCTTTTTCTTTTCTATAATGGATTGCGACTGACTTGTGTTGGCATTTGTTCTATTTAAATGGAGAGACCCTCTGTTGCTGTATCTATTGGTTATTTCCTTCCTGTGCTAGTCAGGGTGCAGCCAGCCATAGGTCCCGCCACTCCTTGCTTCCAGCTGAGGGGGATGGTTGCAAAGCCATGCTTGAGTGGCTTCACACTCAGGATCAGGGCAGAGAGCATCTCTGTAAGTGACAGCCTGAGTTCTTATATGAATCTCAGTCTGCAAATTTAGGGTATATGCAACATAATTTTCTATTTCTATGAGTAGAGTTTATTTCTGGTGCAAGAGCTCATTCCATCACACTGGAGGGAAATGCCATTTAATTCTGTTTCAGGATCGGCTAAGGTTCAAGAACCCATAGGTTGTTCCTCCAGCTTTTGGTAGGAGACTTCCTCTGGTTGTCAGGTTACTCATCCACACAGACATTCATACGATGGTCACCACCTAATTATCATGGACTTTCCGGTACCCAAGTTCTCGACGTGGGCACACGACCTCTGTGAGGCTGTCCATGGTCTTTCCTGCCTAGCCGTGCCATACTGCTTGACTTCTTTGCCAAGAGAATGACGAACCACTCTGCCACCCAACAACCTCGCCCTAGCTGACCTTTTTGAAACAATGTCCATGACAGTCAGAGACTGTCTGTTATAGCCCTCCCCTGAGGATATGAGTATGGAATCACCTGTCCATTTGAGAGAGGGTGAAGCAGAATGCTGAAGGAAATTTTAACATATACACATGGAAAATAAAATATGTGAAAACTTAAGTGGGTGTTTCTGAGTATCGTCCTTCCACAGAAAATAATCCATTGGGTTTGGATGTGACTCGGGAAGAAGAACAAAACATCTGTAAAAATAAGCTCCGTTGGGGGGAAAGGAAAACAGATGTGGGATCTGAGCTTTGATGTGATGTAACAAGTGGACATTTGATAAAAGCATTAGGATCCCTTAGTTCACCAGCTTTTTAAGGAAGAGCAACAGAAGCTGTTCTGTTGACCTAGGGATACTGTATCGCTGGATGTGCTAGTAGCTTTCAGAGCAGAGACAGCTTTTCCTGAATTCCTAATGTACCCCCATCCTGCTCCTTGACCTCATGAGACGTGGGAGTTTCAGTGCTCAAGACAATTCCGATCCCAGTGGCCCTATTCTGAGCCTGCATTTCTTCCCAGCAATCAATTCTCTAAGTAAATAGGTGATGTTTAGGAAACAAATGTTAGGAAATAAGTAGATGAGGTTTAGGGAAAAAGGTTAAGAAATGGTGTGAGTAATAGGAAGAACTAGAGTAGAGGAGAACTTGCTCCATTCAGGTAATAACTATTTATTAAGCACCTTCTATTTGAGAGGAATAGAGATAACCAGAAAGTTATGTTAGGACCTCTGCCACAAAATAATTCAGTGTGTAGAGGGTACGTTGGACAAATAAAGACCGATTTGCAAATATGGGTGCTGTTATAGGAAAAGACACATAGAGGACAGGATGGCAGCTTAGGGGCGGTAGTGGGAGGCTGTGTGTAATTTTCTCAGGGAGGGCTTGGTGAGGAAAATAGAAGCTATTTTATGTATGCAAATAAGAAAGGTCTTTATTTAAGGGTTTAGATACTTAGAAAACCTTTTAGGTGTTGGGTGAGCCAAGGTTGGAGAAGGCTGTTGCTGGCTCTCTTTTTTTGCTTGCTTTCACAGAGTCACTAAGTTGCAAGTACAGGCTACCCAGTAATTCCAGTTACTTTCGTCCAAACCCCATGAAATGCCTCTCCTTAGTGGAATCTAACCTGGGTGCTGCTGGCGGAGATATGGGAGCCTCAGGCTTCCAGCCCTTGTGATGGGAGGGAGGACCCAGAAGAGGTGTGCAGACTGAGTTCCCAACAGGAGACTTGACATGAAGGCAGAATGCAAACGGCTACGTGGAATAAGAAAACCCCGAATGTGCCTGTAATCATGGGCAAGAGGCTGGATCCACTGGCACTGCCGTGTCTGGCCTATAAAATGAGAGTAACTAAATATGTCTTAGGGTTGTTACCTGAGGGGTGGCTGAGTTTTAAAATGCCAGAGACAGAAGCTGAGAATGGGCTTCAGTAAGAAAGACCTTGGGATATTTAGAATGGTAGCTAATCATTAAAAAGTGGCTATACAGCATGATGGTTTTTCCCTAGAGTCTCACAGTATCCGTTTTGTTTTTTATTTCTCTAACCTCTTTTCTTCATATTCTTAGCAGTAGGTATGACAATGATGAACTTTCAAAATGTTGCCAGGAGGTACAACTTTTGGGGAACATCCTCTTGGGGACTGACTGTGAACCTGATTTCCCCTTTCCTTTTCCATGGCTGTATTTCCTGTCGATATCAAAATTAAAGGACTAAACTGCCCAAATGCACCCGCATGCATCCGATAGTCAGTAAATATTGAGTCCTCCCTTCCAGGAGGTGCACAAGGATGAGTGAGGAGGTTGCACGCAGAGGCAGAAAGGCGGGCAATTCCCTGAGAGTGGCTCTCGTGCTTTCAGTTAGCTTTGGCTAATATTCTGTAACACCAAAAATGTAAATTAGCATAGAACTTTGACTCTGTGCTGCTAAATGTTAAATATAATCACATTTCATTATGAGAGAAGGAGCAAAGGACAGAAGGGGAAGAAAAAAGGCCAAGAGAGAAGGATATCAAATCCTAGTATGTGACTCTACTTTAGTTCTTTCTATTTCTCAAAAACACCAGTTTTCCTAAAAAAAATTAGTGTGTGGTGTTAGTTTGGGTTCAAAAGTTGTATCAGTTGGGGGTCAGGAAAGTGAATTGTATGTGAGCTGTAGAAGTGATCTCAGACTCTGGGGTGCGTATGAATCACCAGGGAAATTCTGTGAAAATGTGGA